GACCAACTTTACAAACCGTTAAGTCAAGGGCACAAAGTGTGACAATTCATTCCGAAAAAGGACAAGAAACGAAGACTATTGCATTGAAGACCAGTACGACCACAACAGAGGCGCCAACCACCACGACCACCCGCGCACCGTCACGTCTCCGCGAAATCGACGGCAGCCTCAGCAGCTCTGCGTGGGTGTGTGCCCCGCTGCTGCTCGCCGCATCCGCGCTGGCGTACACCGCTGTGGGCTGAAAGGGAGCGTGGGCTGTGCGTGCCAGCACTCAGCCACGGGGACATGTGTACGCGTCTACTGTGGTCCGATGTATGAAGTAAGAGTAATTATGATGATTGTTTTTTGCTTTGTTTGCTTCCGCTGCCCTGCTGCGTGCTCCGCGTTGCTTCCCACATCCGCCACGTTGAACGCATCCCAGACACACTCATATGCACGACATGCATACAAATTTTTGCGTGGACGCACTGTTGAGGATAGATGCATGCGCGCCGGAGCCATTTGGGTGCATTTTTTTGTAATTTTTACTGCTTTGCTTTACTGCTGCTTGTTTTCTTTTCTTTTGTTTTGCACTTGTTTTGTGTGTTTTATTGTTGTTAAATTGTGCAGGGCTTTGTACGTTTTGCACTTTCATTGGTTCAACATTTCTCATGAAATGCGTGCTGCTGCTGGTCTTTTTCCTTTGCTTTCACTCTGCGTTGACGTGTTGTTAGTTTGAGCTGGAGGCTACACGCAAGTGACAGGAGTGATGGCGATGATGATGACTGGCCGTGTGCTGCTGGTGTGTGCCCTCTGCGTGCTGTGGTGCGGTGCCGGCGGTGTTTATGCGAGGGACGGGGAGAACAACGCACAGGGTGTTTGCATGGTGCCGGGAGGGTTTGGAAAGAAAGCATTGTATTTGGCGAGTGGATGTGATAAAAACGCGCCGACGCTCTCTTTGCGTTCAGTTTTGCCTATTCTTGTCATATAGGCCGGAGATTCTGAAGGTGTCCCTTCCAAGGAAAATAATGGTAAAAATTTAAATTTAGTTGATGGAGTTGCTGGTCCCGACATCACTGCAGGAGTAAGAGGTGGTGGAAGCGATGGTCGAGGCGGTGTAAATTCTGGTGGACAAGAAGGTGCTGGCAGCAGTCATGCTGGTTTTGTGCCTGGCGCTGGTTACTCTCCTCCTGCTGGTGGCCCTGCTTCCGGTGGTGGTTCTTCACCTGACCGTAGTGCTACCACGGAGACCAGTGTCAGTCTTTCATCCACCTCGCAACGTGAAGCCCAACAAGAACTTTTGCAAAGTGATGAAAAAAAGGAGAGTCAACACGCCCAGTTGCTCGACGGAAAGGCACCGGATACGCCCGCCGCTGAAAAGCAGTCACGGGGCTCTGATACAACAAGCGGCCAGGGTGTTGGCGACACTTCTACATTGAGCGGAAAAGAACAGCACTCTTCGGAAGAAACAATGAAAAACGAC